TTATTATTATTATATTATATATAATATATTTATTATTAATAATATATATATATATATATATATATATATATATATTTTGAGAATTGAACCCAATACATATAACTCTAACATTTCAACATTTACCACTAAAGCAATCTTATGTTTAATTTTTTAATGCATTTAAAACTTTTATATACAAAACAATAGAAAATGTAAATAAAATATTCTATCAAAAGTTTAAAACCCTAACTGAGATTTGTCTCTCCCACCTCATATCATAATTTTCATTTTCCAGCCTCCCACGACAGCCCCACTGCCTCAGTACCTCACAATTACAGCCTTTTAACCATTAGCGATTTAACCTTTCCAGTCCCATCGACACCACGACACCCACCCAATCCTCGGGACCCACCAGCAACACCCCTCCCCACATGCTCCCCGCGTGACACCTACCCGCTATGCTGTTCACCTTATCTCTCTTTCTCTCTAACTGTGTGCTCTGAACTATATAAACAAAAAATAAAAACTGAGTGAGTGATTGCTCTGTCTCTATGACTACCTGTGTGCTTGAACCATACCCAAAGAAAAATTGAGTGATTGCTCTATCTGTACAAGAAAATACACCAAATTATATCTATAATTTTGACTAATAGATTGAACGTCTGATTATAGGTATATTATGTCAACTGATCAATTGGGAAATGATCATATCATGACTCCAACTTCAACTAAGCAAGTGCACAACGACACCGAGCAGCACTCCACCTCAAGTAGGCTTGACTATATGTGATGACAAGGAGATAACCTTAAAAAGAAAATAAACTTCTGCAGTATGGAATCACTTTAAGAAGATTAAAATTGAGGGGTTGATAAGATAGTTTGTAATTATTGTAGCAAAAAGTTATATGGTATAAGTAAGAATGGGCCAAACATTTGCATGATCATTTCAAAATGTCCTTTACAAAAACATAAAACATAGGGACATTAAGCAATCAATGTTGATACTTTCCATACAAGTGAATGTAAAAGCACTCTAGGCACATACAACTATGACCAAGAAGTTATGAGGAGAGAGCTTGCAATGATGATTATATTGTATGAGTACCCTATTTCAATGGCCGAACATAATGGTTTTAGAATGTACTCTAAAGCTCTCCAACTATTACTTAATGTGGTGTCTCAAAACACAATTAGGAGTGATATTATGAAAATCTATAAAATTGAGAAGACTAAAACAAAGAAATTGATTGAGCACAATCATAGTAGGATTGTCATTACTACAGACATGTGAACTTCTACTAACCAAAATAAGAGAAAACATAGTTAGCATTGCTTATTTCATATGAATGGCAGCATTAGCTATTGTCATAAGCCGAGCATATGAAATAAGCTGCGGGAACCATATATCCCTCACTATGTATCCCTTCTTCTGGTTATTAGAAGTCTACATGTTTGTAGTAATGGCAATCTAACTCTCATTATACTCGATCAATTCCATTGTTTTAGCCTTCTTAATTTCATAAATCTTCATGATATCACTCCTAATTGTATTTCGAGACACCACATTAAATAATGGTTGAAGAGTTTTAGAGTACCTTCTAAAACCACTATGTTTGATCATCAAAATAAGATGCTCATATAATATAATCATCATTGCAAGCTCTCTCCTTGCAACTTCTAGCAGAATCAAAAAAATATGTGACTAAAAACTAAAATAAATAGAAACATGGGCTTGCTAAAGGAAAATATGTAGATATATTTTCAAATTATAATGATAAATTTCTAGTGAGAAATTATTTAGTATGGTCTAATTAATTATTTAGTATGATCTAATCAAATGATAAATTTATTTAGTATGATCTAATAAAGGCAAAACTAGCTTTTGAGGTCCCATTGAGAGAAAAAGAGTTATTAAATTTAGGAAAAGGATCCCTTGATTGGTTAACCAACAAGACAAGAGCACAAGGTTGCACGAGACCGCAATTGATCAAGAATTCGCTAATAATGAGAGAGCTGCTGGCATGATTTATTTGATTGAGCACAAAGACTATCCACTAATGGTTGAGAGGAACCAACAGCATATTTAATCTTTTTCTGTTTGACAGGAAGCAACAACATAACTTCAACTTTATTTGTCAATAGACTTAGTCTTGCCAAAATTGGCTTTACTGCAAAAGAAGCTTTCCTAGTTGCTGTGATCTTTTCGCCACATCAACCTCAATTCAAGAGGAGGGAACCCAGAAAATAAGTCTCTCACCTACCTCATTCTTCTCTCTTTTATTTTTCTATTTGTCCGTTCTTTGCAATGTCATGACATTATAACATTGTTCCTCATCAATGACAGTTGTATGTGTCAAAAAAATTTCTAGTAAAAGCATCAGGGAAAAAATGTAGTTGCTATATAGATTATTGGATGAACATTCTGTATAAAACTCAGTTTAAAAATGAGAATAACGAGAATACAGCATGTGGTGGTATATCTATTGGCATTATAAATTTGTATAAAAAAAAGAAAAAGCATTAAATAAAATGAAACAAGATGAGAATACAGGAATTACCTATGAATTAAGTACATACAGATCCTAGCTATAATATTACTTCAAGCAAGAAATTTTGAATTCATAGATATATAGAGATTACTAGAGTTACAATCAGTGATTTAAAAAGCGCTAAGCGCCAAAGGGCGCCAAGGTCCAAAAACGCCCGAGGCGCTAGGCGCTTGCTCAGGCGCTCGTCCGAGCGAAACGAAACGCTAAAATATAAAAATATAATATAATTATTTAAATAAAAATATGATATTAAATTAAAAAAATCTTACAAAATCACAATATCACATTAACAAAAAATCTCAAAATTCAAAACAATAACAATAATTTCAAATAAATAAAAATTAGCAGTATTAAAATCAAAATAATATATTATTAATCTAATAAATAAAAAAATATTGTTACTAGTATACAGTTAACAGTATACTGTAAATATACTGTTAATAGTATACTATCGAGTCGATGTGAGAAGAGATAGCAGCAAGCAACGATAGCAGGAGCGGGAGCGGGAGAGGCGAGCGACAACGGTAGCAGCGAGAAGCGACAACGGGAGCGGGAGTGACGAGCGGTGATAGTGGCAGCGCAGCGGCAGCAACAGCGGGAGCGGGAGCGACAATAGTGGCAGCGGTAGCAGTGAGCAGCGGCAGCGGTAGCAACGAGCAGCGAGAGCGGCGACAGCAGCAGCGGTAGAAGCGAGCAGCGGGACTGATGACAATGGCAGCGGTAGCGGTAGCAGCGGTAGCGACGAGTAGGGTTAGGGTTGGGAAGTCGCGAGAGGAAGGCTGATATCGGTGCTTTAGTTGGTTCGGTTGAACCAACTAAAGCACGGAAGACCGAACCAGACCTAAAACGCTGGTTCGGTCGTCTGGTTTAACCCGGGCGCTCGCCCGAAGCGCCCGGCACCTGGGCTCAAGCGAGCGCCCAAGCGGCACATCTTTGAAGCGCGCCGCCTGGAAATGAAGCGAGGCGCTCAGGCCTCGCCTCGCCTCGCCTCGCCCGAGCGCCTATTGAAATCACTGGTTACATTAAGTACGGAAGCAAGACGATGCAGAAAATTATAAAAAAGAGATATTGGTAAAAGATCTAGTGAAGATAAACAGGTGGATAAAAGTCCACAAGGAAGAAGAAAGATTTTGTAAGAAAGAAGAAAACATAAAGAGGAAGAACGGGAATACAACATCATAAGTAATACTTGTACCTATCTTTCATAATTAAACAAAATCTCAAGAAGCCCAAGCCATCTTAAATCTGTATCAATCTTTAATGATTAAACAAAACTATGTCCATTATAAAGCCCTATCTTAACAACTGATAAACAGCAGTCTATGTTTACTTACTTCAAGACACTTATCAAAATGAAACTACATTGAAATATCTCCTAAATAGTAAAAGAAATAATATTTTTTTTCATTTTCTAAATACCTTTAAAAAAATTATAAAAGAAATCAAGACCCAATTTGACTGATTATAGAGCATAAGACACAAATTGTGTCAACTGAGCCCATTACACCAAAAATTTATATGGCAGCTATCAGAGTGGCAGCTTCTGTTTCTACAAACAATCTAAGGATCTTAGAAGCACCTCTATTTCACAAACAGCTATTGCAATTCAATCATCATATCAGATGGAAGTTACACTTGGAGAAAAGAATTTCATATCAAATAGTAGATACCAGGCCATAAAAGTTTTTTAGCTACAGAAGAGAAATCCAGAAACTCTTGTTTGCATAGAAACTTGAAACCAAAGAAGATTACTTGCAGGATTAACTGTTAATTGATATATGCATAACCTACAAAAAGTTCAATAAATCAGAAACTCTCTTTGTTCAGTGCTTCAAATCTAAACAACATGCTCATTGAAGATCTTGTAAACAAGAAAGGAAGCTAGTATCTTCAATAAATAATTCCAGGTCATAATTTCCAAAGCAGAATTTTATGGTTCAGAAAACAAGGATCACTAGTTGGTATTTTATCCAAGACGCTTGTGCAAGAGGGGAGTAACAGGTGCAGTTTATGGCCAAAACTTGGAGATTTTCCAAAACATTAGCAACGGTTCATATAGTTGTCAGAATTTTCAGATGCATCATAGTTTTTTTTCATTTTTCGATGTCTCTATAAAATACTTGGAAGTAACATCCAAAATAAAGCATTTAGGTATCATAGGAAAATTCATGAAACAGGAACAAAGGTAAAGAAACACTTACATACAAAGTGAACACAACAACTACCACCATCACAGGTACACCCAGTGTATTAGAAAAATCATCCATTAGTTTTCTGGCAACAAGCACACAGAAGACTGAAACAGGTGCAACAATCAGGAATATGGTGAGAAACAATGATCTCACATCGGGACCAAATATAAATCTTCCTTGAAGGAAAAATATCTGCAGAAGATATGGCAAGGATGTCAATAAAGAAATCCTAGTATTAATCTTCCCAAAACAAAAAATCTGCACAGCTGTTATAAAATTATAGCAATGATTCAATATAATGAAGTCAAAAGTAACAGAGGCAAACAATAAACATAAGCCACTCAACTTGTCAAGAAAATAACAAGGATCACAAAGTAATGCACAAGCTGAATCAATGTAAGCTGGTATCACTCATTATCACATAACACCAAGACTCTTCATAGGTTCTAAAGTTGAGTCATTTAGTAAAAAATCTTTAAGACTACATCAAAAGATTGACATGTAAAGCTTTACTCTCAAGGAGTACAAAGCTGACTAAAAGTTTCTCTGTTTTTAGTTTCATATAAAATTTCTATTATTTCACATTTTTCATGGAATTAACACATAAGTTTCCTAAATAATTGTCAAAAAACGAACCCTAAAATTAACAAAAAAAATTAACTCCGTTCCTTGATTGTAAAGATGACTATAGCATCTTCAGTCTAACATATTTATTGAATGAGCTATAACTATTTCAGAAGTTCCCCGTACAGGTAATCGATACACCATAAATACAGGTTGGTTTCTTCACAAGTGCCATAATAATTCAACTGACACAAAACAGGAAATTGAATGGATCTGACGTGCCTAAAATAGGCACCATGGCACTCTTGACATGACTTTTATTTGAACTCACATGATCGGGCAAAAACGCATGTAAATGACTGTATTCTATGAATTAGGATACACCTAATAAAAGTTAAGCACCCCAATTATGCATACCATGTTATGATTATTTAGTTAAATAGCAGTGCATAACAATGAGTTAAAATATTCAATGAGGCCATTTCAATAATTAATGAAACAATACAACATAATTCTACAACTAAGTAACAAGGTCAAATTATTGACAGAATTATGCACACAAAAATTGCAGCTTGATTACAATCGGATAACAAGCAAAAATAAGCTGAAAGTTGAAAATTGTTTATTGCACAGAAGGTCTAGACCAAAAATGCAAATTAGATGACTATTCAAATTCATAGTCAATCACAGAACAAAGACGACTTCAGATTTAAACACATAACAAATGCAGTATAAACACCCAAAAAATTGAAACTTCAACTTCTCATGTCCTCCTGCGCACAGATCACACGACCAAACCCTAATTTCCCCAAACAGCAAGTCGCTAGCGTTTCGACCAATCAAGCTGGACAGAGCCGTCAATGAAAGTTCGAGGACATAGATCAGCACTTACGTTGCTTCCCTTCCAAGCCTCGTACACTCTCGGCTCCTCCGCATCCGCCGCCATGCCGGCGGCGCCGAGATCCGAGCCTCGGGCAGGCGGGCCGACGTGCATTACCTCACGCGGGCGCCTCTAAACCACCTCGTCCCCCCAGACAAATTTCGACCCCCCACGAATCTCCCGCCTGCGGACAGCGGAGAGAAAGGATCTTTCCTAGGGCTCAGACTTGCACCCTGCAACGACAGCCACCGGATCACCGCCAGGATCCTCCTCTATTCCGACTACCTCCACCGTCGCGCGTGGTTCCGCGCCTTTGCCGACGGCCGCCGCCGCGTCTGGCGGTTGGCTATCACCCCTCCGACGAGAGAGATTGGTGAAGAAGATTGGTGATTGGGGCGGGGCGAGATATGTCGTCCCCTCTCTCTCTCTCTCTCTCTCTCTCTTCTTGCTTTTCTTTCCATTTTGCTTTGGTTTCGGATCATATGTTTTGCGCATCGCTGGCAACACCCGTTTAACGTAGTACAAGGTGATGTCATAATCCAGAACTTGGACGTCATCGCGTTTCGTATGAGACGGTATACGTGTTCCCTGATTTACCCCCAACAGGAAAACCCAACACATGGCTTAGGGTCGGCAGGACGCGCCACGTGGTGAGTAGCTGGCTCGGTCGCCTGCTTTTCGATTCAACGTGAAGAAGAGGAATATTTTGGGAACAGAGAAATCAAATAGACCCCAATTAGAGATCATGTACTATCCTTATTTATTACCATTATTGTTAATAATTTTTGCCACAAAGGAGTGTTATAATTGTGTTAGAAAAAAATAAATATTTATTTATTTATTTTATTAAAATAAATAAATAAATAAAATGCTCATTTCTTTCACAAAATAAAATTTTATTTATTTTATAAAATTTTATTTATTTTTTATTTTTATGCAAAAGTGGAGGAGCAATGAATGATTGATTACATGGTGGTTTTTTTTTTCTCAAAAATGGACATTGTCCATCTTAATTAATTCGGATGATGGGAATTAGATTGTAGGTTGACTTTTCAAGATGGTTAGGATTAAGTGTTGACTATCCAGCCTCATTCCGATCCCCCAAACTATTTAGGCCAAGACTAAGTGTCTATTTTCCGATCTTTAACGGATCATAGTACAATAAATAACACCATGAGGAATCCTTGTTAGACAAGGCATTGCTAACCAAGTCAAATCTTTTGTCTTGACAAAATATAATATGGGCAAGACCAAAGAGGCCAAATCAAATGGGTACGTAATTGGCTCTCTCTCTCTCTCTCTTTGTCGGCTATATCATTTTCGTCAATGTGTATGCTGTCGTACAACTACTCTACCGTTGTTTGATTTTGACTGAGATTTTTAATAACATTAATACTCTTTAGAAACTCCACCACTCGTTATTATGAGAATAACAAAGATGTATCACATTTTTTTATTTTTAATATATTTTAAATTTAGCAAGCTAGTGTTTAATATATTCAAAAGTAATTAACTTGAGCTTTCTGAATGGATATTAGTGCGAGTAAAATATCAAATGAGTATACATATGATTTAATGAAATAGACAAGAATGAATATGCTGATTTAATTGGAGCAATCAATTACTTGTATCATCAAATAGTACTAACTATGCTTTGATGAGATTGTTTTTAATTTGGAGAGCTAGAAAACTAAAACCTTCCTTGGTCAAACATTGTGACCCCTCGACTCGGTCAATTAAATGACACAAGCAGGAGTTGGATGGCTCAATTCAAGGGCAGTTAAGTGGGACCGATCACCAAACACATCAGTTTCATGTGCCTCGGTCGAGTTTGACCAATTTTGGTCAAACTATAAGATAAGACCGGGGATCTAATATTACTTCACAATTTTGATATTAACTTCTCATACAATCTTGCAAATAAAAAAGACATACATATAGACTGTATCATTAAATGAAAAGAGATTGTCATGAAAACATAAGCTCGACTTAAAGGGAACAAAACATTTATGATTTAGAATTCTAAAGTGACACAGAATGCCATGTAAAAAGAAAATGGTATCTTCTTGCAGTAGCTTTCGCTTTCAGGAGAAGTAAGCTAGAATGACATAGCTGCAATAGACTACATAACCATTGAAAAGATACAAAAGCTAAAACCAGATTTTATCCAAAATACAGCCAAGAATGGTTGTCAGTCTAAGCATATTATGTTGACATCCAATCTCAAGAATGGTTGTACCATGCAGTCAATTTTCCCCTGAGCAAATCTTGGAATCATGCTACCTGATTTGTTTTCATGTCACGGTCATGTATGAAATTAAAACATCAGGACAGATTGTAGCATCAAGAAACATCAAGCCTGACCACCCAATTCATGAAAATGAAGATTAACTACAGCGCAGAAGAGAGAGCAGCAGCTCAAGCAGAAGCTCTCTGGTACTTGAAATAATTGGGCAAATTAACAAAGAATTAGACAAAATCATAATGAGCAATCCTGCTTAAGGTGTCCTATCTAACTAGAAAGACTTTGGAAAAATATGAAGGGGCAGAAAAGGCTTTGAAGCAACAAATCAAGCAATCATAATAGTAAGAGTCATATCATCTTTTGGTTGGAGAGGGATCAAAATGAAACCTGCCTTCGGTTCAAGGTCAAATTTTTTAAGGGTTTACACACATTTGAAACCTCTTTAACCAAACACAAACGGTCCTACAATCAAAAACCTGTCAACAAAAGAAGCAAGCAAGACTATTGATCAAAACAAGCTTTAACCAATTTAATCACTATCATACCAGGTTCATATCAGCATTGTTTAGAGAGACAAATGAGTCTGTGCAAGTGTTTAACCATATAGATGCACAATTTACAGAAAGCAAACAGATTTTAGCTGGAACAGAGCATTTCTAGAGCCTGGTTCTCATCACCATTAACGCTCTCCAGCGTGTTCCTCACTAGATCCTCAGGAAAACCCATCTCCACCAGCTTCTGGACCTGGATCCACCATAAAGTGCAGTCATCAGATATCAAATATTTTTTTCCTATACATATATAAAAAAAATTGTACCTTTTCTTCAATGCCAACAGATGACCTTCTAGCAAATGCCTCCGTCCAGTACCGAGCTGTGGCCATAAACGTCTGGTGATCACGCAAGTACTGTCCAATGTGGAAGAGATAAAAGTAAAAAGTCATGAACACTAACTATCAACTCCATTTTGGTATTCATATGAGAGGGAAGAGTGTGCTCTCTTTGACCTGCTGAGCAACAACAGCATCTTGGGGGTCATCAGGCTCAGGTGCTGAGAGTAGAGCTTGCAGAGAAAGCAAAGCAGTCTTCAATGTGAGGGCAGGGCTCCATTGATCCTTGAGAATGTCCAAGCAGATAGCCCCATTTTGACTGCTAATGTTTGGGTGCCTTCAACAAAAACATGCAAGCAAATAATGCAGGCACAATTGGTGCTATAATCAGAGCTCTAGAGTCCACTCATTCTTACAATAGAAAAGCACGTGATATGCAGAAGCCCTATTAATCCTGCTATAAGTACTAAATGAAGCAAAAACCTATTTGAGGAAGAAAAACATGAATAGTACATGAAAATAGACGCAGCATACACAAACTTCAAATTCCAATCACCAATCTGACAAATAAAGAAGAATAATTAAAATCAAAACAGACCTCTCACTTAACAAGATACCATGTAAAAGATATTAGTACTCCCAAAATATTTATATAGTCCAACAATCAAAACTGATGTATGGTTGTCACAAATTCGTAATACCAACATGGATCTATGATCCAACATAATCACTTTTTTCTTAGGTATATCTTCAAATCAATGTAAATCCTTGCTGAAAACATCATAGAGGCAACAATTAACCCCTACTTGAAGAAGCAGCAAGGGTGTCGAAAAACATAGCTTTCAAAAGAGGGTGTCTTTCTCTATATACATAAACCAAACTAATGGAAGAACTATTTAAGGAAACAAATCTTAAACTCAGAAATAAAGAGAACAAAACATCAAGATTTTGCCTTACATAAGCTTTCCCATTCTACAGTTCTTGCTTCCTTTTCCTCAGTAATATTCTGAGAAAATAAAAATGAACAACAGCATACCGATACCGAGCTATATTATTTCAATATCCATACTTGGTTGGACTAGTAAATAACCATTACATGCCGACCAGTAGAGTTGACATTAGAAACCTTGATTCTCATCACGTGCAAGTGGTTTTCTTGTCACATTCTTTCTCCAATGGCAATTACATTATCCACATATGAGTGTAGAAAAGTGAGGTCTTCATCCTTGGGAGCAAATGTTGAGCCACAGTGACTCTACTATTCATCCTTAATGGGGCAATGCCATGATTCATGCATGAGACATGTTTGAGGAACTCTCATTTTTTTTATTTTATGCAAAGGATAAGTGGTGAAGGTGGGTTTTGGTACCAGAACCATGTGGTGATTTAAAAAATCCTCAACAGTAAGGCTAGTAAGAACCATGTATTCCAAGTTTATACATCCATGTATTATTTTATCTTGTTCTTTCTACCTCTTTCACTCTCACATTTCAAATCCTAGAAAAAAAAAATTGTGAACCAAGTCCCTTCATGCACTTCTACATCACCTAGTCTATAAAACACGCTCAATTGAGCCCTTAACATGTGAAAATGATCCAATGATCGTAAATGAGTGCATCACAACAATTCAAAACAACAAACTCATTAATTCAATTAATGAATAAAAGATGATAAGAAAGACAATAGTTTTTCGTTAACTTCATCATAATTCAATCATTTTCTAATAAAAAATGGAGAATACCGTAAATTGAAATTTGAGATCAAAAAGGAAATAATCAAAGTTTCCATATCATGTTTCCCCATATCCTCTTAGTGGAATCCCCCATGGCCAGCCTATTAAGTATGATATATGGCCCACTTGTGGTGACATTATGATCCAATGATTGTGAGTGGAGCATAGCATATAACACAATAAACTGTTGAATCTATCATTATATATAATCTTATAAAGAAATAAATAAATATCTCAATTAACTTCACAATGATTTAATCACTTTCTATCAACACTAGTCTACTGAGATCAAAATATGAGATAAAGAAGGCAATAATCAAAATTTCTGTATCGTCTTCCCCAATACACTCCTAATTGGAACCCCCTCATCTTAAGTTCATGTCAACCTCTTAAAGAAAAAAGACAAACAAATTTACCTAAAAACTTTAACCTCCTAACAAGCTATTCAAGACTAAAATCACTTTCATGTTCAGTATTTATCAAACTCGAAACAAACAATTGTATGGACATAACCTACCAAAATGAAGTTCATTTTATTAACTTGTGTCCTTGCTTATATGTGAGCACTTAAACCTCAATTTTCCATCATTTCATATACACTAGAATTTCCACATTGTTATCATTTAGCATCAATCCAAATAGATTTGGTTCAAGCAATTTTTTTATATTTTTTCAATAATAAAGATACAAACATAATCAACCTGCCAAGTGATCCTGTTAATAATATTCATTATATAATACCAGTAAAGGAAAAATGTCGCTAGAAAATGAAAAAAATAAGTGCCAAGCTGATACGTAATCCAAGTTGCCCAAAGAAGACCAAGGTTAGACATCAACCTCATCAGAAGGATCACTTAAGTTATATTAGCTTGAATGAATTTTTTTTTAGAAAAAATGCTAAACAGAAGATTTAGCTCCTCAACATATAATGCAAAATTTCAAGAATATAATGCAGTCATATTAGCAAATAGAGGACAACTAACAGGAGCATCTGATTAAGTACAAATTACATGATAAATTAGTATGATCTGGAATAGCTTGGAATATATATATATATATATATATGTATATGTATATGTATATGTATATGTATATGTATATGTATATGTATATGTATATGTATATGTATATGTATATGTATATGTATATGTATATGTATATGTATATGTATATGTATATGTATATGTATATGTATATGTATATGTATATGTATATGTA